ATCCCTGTGGAGTAGTAGAATGGCAGATGGAATACTGAGAAGTGATTTCCTTAAGGATAGATTTCCACGATGGAAAGGAAATGAGAGGTGCTAAGAGGTGGGCTAGTGGCTTGTAACCTACATGGAGGAGGTTATGAAATGACAATAGAATAGAATGGGCCTGTGAGGCTTGAAGGAGATATTTTTCTTGGTCCAAGAACCATTTGTCTGGTGTGGGAAGAGATTGATAGGTGGAAGTTTCAGTGGGAGAGTAGAGTAGGTGGGAGTGACTGATGAGAAGGAGAAAAACTGGCTGTGAGGGACAGAAGTTGGAATGCCAGCTGCTTGTTTAGCATAAGCGTTGCCCTGAGTGATGGGATCTGATGCCTTTTGGTGAGCCTTGCAGTGTATGACTCCAGCTTCCTTTGGAAGTAAAGTGGCCTTGAGAGGAGTTTTCATTAAGGAGGCATTAATGATGGAGGACCCTTGCGTAGTGAGGAAACCTCTTTCTGCCCATATGACAGCATGGTGGTGCAGGATATGGAAGACATATTTAGAGTCAGTATAAATACTGACACGTAGTCCTTTTGCAAGAGTGAGAGCCCGAGTTAAGGCAATGAGTTCGGCTTGCTGAGAGGTAGTGGAGGGGGCAGAGCGGTAGCCTCAATGATAGATGTGGAAGATACTATAGCATAGCCTGCCTTTGCTGGTGAGTGGCAATTAGGCCTGATGGAACTGCCATCAATAAACCAAGTGTGATCAGGATGAAGAACAGGAAAGAAGGAAATATAGGGAAATGGAGTGAATGCCAGATAGATCAGAGAGATATAGTCATGGGGGTCAGGTGTGGTATCCAGAATAATGTGGGAGGCTGAAGTCCAGGCCAGGAAAAATGGTAATTGTGGGAGACTCAACAAAGAGTAAGTATAGCTGAAGGAGCCGGGGAGCAGAAAGTATATGCATCAGGTGGCAGGAAGAAAACAGATTTTGGAAGTTATGAGAACTGTAGAGAGTGAGTTGAGCATAGTTTGTGATTTTTAGAGCCTCTAAAAGTATTAGGGTGGTGGCAGCCACTGCACGGAGACATCATGGCTAGCCTAAAACAGTAAGGTCAAGTTGTTTGGACAAAAAGGCTACAGGGCATGGTCCTGGTCCTCGTGTAAGAATTCCGACTGCACAGCCCTGCACTTCAGCTGTGTGTAATGAAAAGGGTTGGGATGAGTCAGGGAGAGCTAGTGTGGGAGCAGTCTCTAAAGCTGTCTTCAAGGAACGGAAAGAGGAATGGGGAAAGGATTCAGGATCTATGGGATCAGCTAGGGTTCCTTTTGTGAGTTTATATAATGGTTTTGTTAGGATGGCACAACCAGGTATCCAAAGGTGAAAGTATCCAACCATGGCCAGGAAGGAGAGGTGTTGTTTTGTAGAAGGGGTTGGGGTTTGAGAGATCAATCGGACATGATCGGCAGGGACAGCATGTATGTTTTTATGAAGAATTATGCTGAGGTAGGTAACGGATGGAGAAGAAATTTGAGCTTTGGAGGGAGATACCTGATATCCCTTGGAGAATAAATGTTGAAGGAGCAGGAGGGTGTCTTGTTGAGAAGGAGGGGCTACAAAGTAGAAGGTCATCAATATATTGAATAAGGTGAGAAACGGAGGGGTGGAAAGAAAGTAAATCATGAGAAAGAGCTTGGCTGAAGTAATGAGGGCTGTCCCTGAAGCCTGGCAGTACAGCCCAGATAAGCTGCTGGGACTGATGGGTGTCAGGGTCAGTCCAGGTAAAAGCAAAGAGAGGCTGGGACGAGGGGTGTAGAGGAATAGTGAAAAAAGCATCTTTAAGATCAAGAACGGAACAGTGGGTTGTGGAGGAAGGTATTGAGGACAAAAGAGTATACGGGTTTGGCACCACGGGGTGGACAGGCAAAACAATTTGGTTGATAAGGCACAGATCCTGAACTAACCTGTAAGACTTGTCCTCTTTTTGAACAGGTAAAATGGGAGAATTGTAAGGAGAGATTATAGGTTTTAGAAGCCCATGCTGTGTAGCAGGCAAGTGATAACAAGCTTTAATCCCCTTAAAGCCTGTTGTGGGATGGGATACTGGCGTTGAGCAGGGTAAGGATGATTATATTTTAATGGGATAGTAATGGGCGTGTGATCAGTTGCCAGAGAGGGAGTGGAGGTGTCCCATACTTGTGGGTTAAGGTGGGGGGATACAAGAGGAAGACGCAAAGGAGGCTTTGGGTTGGGAAGAAGGGTGGCAATGAGATGTGGCTGTAGTCCAGGAATAATCAGGGAAGCAGATAATTTGGTTAAAATGTTTCGGCCTAATAAGGGAACTGGGCAGGTGAGGATAACTAAAAAGGAGTGCATTAAAGAATGTTGTCCAAGTTGGCACCAGAGTTGGGGAGTTTTAAGAGGTTTAGAAGCCTGGCCGTCAATACCCACAACAGTTATGGAGGCAAGGGAAACAGGCCCTTGAAAAGAAGGTAATGTGGAGTTGGTAGCCTCTGTATTGATTAAGAAGGGGATGGACTTATCCTTCGCTGTAAGAGTTACCCGAAGCTCGGTGTCCTTGATGGTCCAGGGGTCCTCCAAGGCGATCGGGCAGCATCAGTCTTCAGCTGCTAAGCTGAGAAGATCTGGGAAGGAGTCAGTCAGAGAGCCTTGGGCCAGAGTTCCAGGGGCTCTGGGAGTGTCCAACTGCCGGGCGAGTTGGACAGTCCAATTTCCAGTGGGGTCCTGCACAGTTGGGACATGGCTTAGGAGGAATCCCGGGCTTTGGGCATTTCTTGGCCCAGTGGCCAGATTTCCAGCACTTGAAGCAAGATCCTGGGAGAGGCAGTCCTGAAGGAATGCCTGGCCACTGCGGTTCAGACGTTTTGAAGTTCTTGCGTGCTGGAGATGTGGCTGGGGTTTCTCTCAGAGTGGAGGCAAGTAATTGCAACTCAGAAATACATTGCTACTTGGCTGCCTCTATTATTGTACACCTTGAAGGTGAGGTTAATTAGGTCCTGTTGTGGGGTTGGAGGGCCGGAATCTAATTTTTGGAGCTGGGGGCTGGGGTGCAGTGGCACACGCCCATAATCCCAGCATTTTGGGAGGCCAAAGTAGGTGGATCACTTGAACTCAGGGGTTCAAGACCAGCCTGGGCAACATGTCAAATCCTGTCTATACAAAACAATACAAAAATTAGCCAGGCATGATGCACCCATAGTCCCTGCTACTCAGGAGGCTGAAGTGGGAGAATCACTTGAGCCCAGCAGGTTGAGGCTGCAGTGAGCTATGATCCGCCATTGTACGCCAGCCTGGCAAAGCAAGACCCTGTCTCAAAAAAAAAAAAAAAAAAGAAAGAAAAAATTGTCTGGGTTTGATGGTACATGCCTGTAGTCTTAGTTACTCAGGAGGCTGAATGGAGAGGATGGCTTGAGCCTGGCAGCTCAAGGCTGAAGTGAGCCATGATTACACCATTGCATCCTAGCCTCGGTGACAGAGACCCTGTGTCCCTCTAAAAACAAACAAAATTCAGTCTAGCTGTAGACCTAATCAGAATCTTCATCTTAGCAAGATCCCTAGGTGATGTGTGTACACAGGAGTTTCTAAGAGGCAGAAATCACTTCTCAGCAGTGTCTGAGGATGGCATCACTTTAGCCCATCATCACCAGGGCTGGGGACCCGGAGATTAATAACGATATAGTCCCTGCCCTCAAGGAGCTTGCAGGCTAGCAGAGAGACAGACAACCAGAGGAACAACCACAGGACTGGTATGAAGGTAGGCGAGTAGCAGAGACGGCTTTACAGAGGAGGTGGCTCTGAAATGCTTAATCTTTAGTGCTAGTAGAGGCATCGTTTGTTCTAAGAAAATTCGCTTTACATTCTTAATGCATGCAGAGTTGATCAATGCAACACCTCTTGATTTCCTCATTAGAGCTTTCAGAGGGTATCATCTTTGAGCAGCTCTTTACTCAATGGAGTGGTGCAGTGAGACCTCTGATCCTATTTCCTCATCTGCAAAATGGGACAGTTTGTACTATATCGGCGTTACTGAAATTACCCGTGCTTTTTTTTTTTTTTTTTTTTGAGACAGAGTCTTACTCTGTCACCCAGGCTGGAAGGCAGTGGTGCAGTTTCGGCTCACTGCAACCTCCACCTCCAGGTTCAAGCAATTATCTGCCTCAGCTTCCTGAGTAGCTGGGATTACAGGTGCCTGCCACCATGCCTGGCTAATTTTTTTTTTTTGTACTTTTAGTAGAGATGGAGTTTCACCATCTTGACCAGGCTGGTCTTGAACTCCTGACCTCATAATCACCCACCTCAGCCTCCCAAAGTGCTGGGATTACAGGCGTGAGCCACCGCGCTCAGCCTTATCCGTGCTTTTATTTGAGCCACAAAACCACCCTGCGAGAGAAGCAGCACAGTGTGGAAGGACTTCCATAAAAAGTTGCTAAACATAAGATACAAAAAGTATGCTGCTGATCAGTATGTTCAACTGTGAAATCATTTTTGTTTAAAAAATGCATATACATTCTATAATTTTTTAAAACACTTTAACTGTGTATAACAATAGACATATAGAAAAATGCTCTATTAACATTGATTTTCCTGGAGAGTGGCAACAGCACTTTACACATTTCAACACCACTTTATTTTCAAGGAAATGTAATTTTTAAATGGGAACATTTTGTTTTTATTTTTGAGACGGAGTTCACTCTTGTTGCCCAGGCTGGAGTGCAATGGCACGATCTGGGCTCACCACAACCAACGCCTCCTGGGTTCAAGCGCTTCTCCTGCTTCAGCATCCCGAGTAGTTGGGATTACAGACATGCGCCACCACTCCTGGCTAATTTTGTATTTTTAGTAGAGACGGGGTTTCTCCATGTTGGTCAGGCTGGTCTGGAACTCCCGACCTGAGGTGATCCGCCCACCTAGGCCTCCCAAAGCGCTGGGATTACAGGCGTGAGCTACCACGCCCGGCCATAAACATTTTAAACATATGTAAGTGCAATAGGAGATTAGAAGTCATGTTGATTCTGCGTGGCTTGATTATGGATTACTATCTTCCTCTCATCGCGGATCCGCATTTTTTGGTTTTCTGTGATGAGCTTGTCCCCATCTGGGGCTCTGGCGTCTTTCTGGGTCTAACGGTACCCAGCGCCCTCTGCCGAAGATCTCGGTACGGCGTCCTCAGGCTGGAGGGTGGAGCGGAGGAGGCCTGGTCGACCTGTATGGACTCGGTGGGCCGAGGCGGGGCCCGTTCGGCATCTTTAATAAGTTTCACCGGGACCCGGTGGCCGGGATGGAGACGGCTAAGCCGCGAGATGTTTACCTACTACCACAGCGTCCACAGTACCCGGCTCGGCCTTAGGCCTCGGGTCCCGACGTCCTCTCGGGAAGCACAAACCTACTACAGAGTAAGCCTGAGGCCACCATAGCCCTGAGGCTCTGCCACGCCCCCTGGCCCGCCCCCTCCAAAGTGCCTGCAGGAGCGCCGCGTCACGGGAGCGCCGCGTCACGTGAGG